CTGTAGAGTTCTTTACTGACGGCTGCTGAGGCTGGGCCATTAAGTATATTCAAGGCTGAGATAAACAGATTTTTAATCAGTAAGGGAATCAAGGGTTATGAGAATAGGTAGGAAAGTGGAGCTGAGGATGATCAGAGCAGCCATGATCACATTGAATGGCAAAGCAGACTCAATGGGCTGAATGGCATACTTCTGCTCATAAACCATAGAGTCATAGAGAGTGAGAGGGATATACAGCACGGAAACAGACCCCTCAATCCAACTCGTCCATGCCTACCAGATATCCTAAATAAATCTAGTCCCATTTGCCAGCATTTGGTCCATACCCCCTAAACCTTTCCTATTCATATACCCATCCAGATGCCTTTTAAATGTTGTAATTGTGCCAGCCTCCACCACTTCTTCTAACAGCTCATTCCATACACGCATCACCCTCTGTATGAAAATGTTGCCCCTTAGGTCCCTTTTAAATCTTTCCCCTCTCACCTTAAACCTATGTCCTCTAGTTTTGGACTCCCTCACTTCGGGGAAAAGACCTTGTCTATTTACCCTATCCATGCCCCTCATGATTTTATAAACCTCTGTAAGGTCACCCCTCAGCCTCCGATGCTCCAGGGAAAATAGCCCCAGCCTATTCAGCCTCTCCTTAAAGCTCAAACCCGCCAATCCTGGCAACATCCTTGTACATCGTTTCTGAATGCTTGCTAGTTTCACAACATCCTTCCCACAGCAGGGAGACCAGAATTGCACGCAATACTCCAAGAGTGGTCGAACCAATGCCCTGTACAGCCACAAGATAATCTCCCAACTCCTATACTCAATGTATTGACCAATAAAGGCAAGCATACCAAACGACTTCTTCACTATCTACCTGCGACTCAACTTTAAAGGAACTGTGATCCTGTACGTTAAGTTCTCTTTGTTCAGCAATAATCCCCAGGCCTTACCATTAAGTGTATAAGTCCTGTCCCGATTTGTCTTTCCAAAATGCAGCACCTCACATTTATCTAAATTAAACTCTATCTGCCACTCCTCGGCCCATTTGCTCATCTGATCAAGATCCCGTTGTACTCTGAAGTAACCTTCTTCGCTGTCCACTACACTTCCAATTTTGCTGTCATCTGCAAACTTATTAACCATACTTATGTTCAGATCGAATAATTTATATAAATGACAAAAACCAGTGGATCCAGCAACGATTCTTGCAGCACACCGCTGGTGACAGGCCTCGAGCCTGAAAAGTAACCCTCCGCCACCCTCTGTCTTCTACCTTTGAGCCAGTTCTGTAGTCAAATAGCTAGTTCTCCCTGTATTCCTGTGTGATCTAACCTTGCTAACCAGTCTAGCATGAGGATTCTACCATGTTGAATGCCTTACTGAAGTCCATATAGATGGACCTAGTCCACTGCTCTGCCCTCATCAATCCTCTTCATTAGTTATTCAAAAAAGTCAATAAAGTTAGTCAGACAAAATTTCCCACGCACAAAGCTATGCTGACTATCCCTGATCAGTCCTTGCCTTTCCAAATACATGTAAATCCTATCCTTTCGGATTCCCTCCAACAACCTACCCATCACCAATATCAGGTTCACCAGTCTACAGTTCCCTGCTTTTCCCGTACCACCTTTCTTAAATAGTGGCATCATGTTAGCCAACCTCCGGTCTTCTGGCACCTCACCTGTGGCTATCGATGATACAAATATCTCAGCAAGGGGCCCAGCAAACATTTCCCTCGCTTCCCACAAAGTTCTTGGGTACACCTGATCAGTTCCTGGGGACTTATCTACCTTTATGTGTTTAAAGACGTTCAGCACCTCCTCCTCTGAAATATGGACATTTTTCAAGATGTCGCTATTTATTTCCCCACATTCTCTACCTTCCATGTCCTTCTCCACAGTGAAGACTGATGCAAAATGCTTGTTTAGTATCACCCCCATCTCCTGCAGTTCCACACATGGGTGGCCTTGCTGGTCTTTAAGGGGCCCTATTCTCTTCCTAGTTACTCTTTTGTCCTTAATGTATTTGTAGAATCCCTTTGGATCCTCCTTAACTCTATTTGCCAATGGATTTCTGAAGACTAATGACATTGAGGGACATGGGGATAGTGGAGAAAAATAGGCTGATGATCAGCCCAAGTCTCTTTGAATGCTGAAGCAGGCTTGATGACGCGAATGGCTTACTCCTGCCCCTATCTTCTATGTTTAAATGTACAATTCCCTTTTGAACTTTATTAAATCTTCTTTCACCTGTCTTTCAGACAGAACACAACAATTGCAAACAAACACTAAAAGAGATAACATCAATTTTGTCCCCTTTATTACACATTCTGCAAATATCCCTTCCTTCCTCAAATTGCTTAGTTTATTATTTAAATCTTTTATCTGCTTGTGCTTTAACCTTCCCTTTTATATTATTGCAATGTTGCTGCATATTTTACTTTTCTTTTATCCCTCCAGCTCAGCTGTCTCATCCCTCTGTTAATTCACTCTGAATGTCTTCCTTTCAGATGTTCTTTCTTCTAAACATCTTGGCACAGCAATTTAAAAAAAATAAGAATTTACATCAGGAATAATCCCAGATTACCATACCTCTGTGTTCAGTATTAAACTAAAAGACATAAAGCAAAAAATACATGAATTTCAGTTTAAAGCTACATGACTCTCCCTGCCCCCAACATATTTGTTTTTCATTTCGGACTTTGTTCTAATTTTTAGCTTGACTTTTATATTAAGTTTCAAGAAAATCTGGCCAGTGTGGATGGAGCCATACGTAAAAGTAAGCCATAGCTTTGATACTTGGTCTACACTAGGATCAGTAGAAACAGAAAGAATTTGCAACAATATAGCATATTTCATCACCTCAGGAGGTTCATCTGCCTTTTCTAGTGAGCCTTGTTTTGATGTGTAGTCATTGTCACAATCTGGGAAACACACAGCAAGGTTCCACAAACAGCAATGACATGATGACTAGATCATCAATTTCAGTGCTGTTCACTGAGAGATAAATAATGGCTTGTAGTAGTCTTATTATTCTTTGAGGGGCATGGAGTCTTACTGTGTGACCATGAGACATAGGAGCAGAAGTAGATCATTCAGCCCATCGGGTCTGCTCCGCCATTCAGTGGGATCATGACTGATCTGAACATCCTCAGCTCCACTATCCTGCCTTCGCCACTTGATTCCCTTACTGATTAAAGTCGATCTATCACAGCCTTGAATATAATTAATCACTCAAACTCTACAGCCTCTGCAGTAAAGAATTCCAGAGATTCCCCACCTTCTGACAGAATGAATTCATCGCCTCCTAAACGGGAAACCCCTTACTCTGAGATCAGTGGTTAGCATTGGTGCCTCACAGCGGCAGGGACCCAAGTTCGATTCCACCCTTGGGTGACTGTCTGTGTGGGATTTGCGCATTCTCCCCATGTCTGCGTGGGTTTCCTCTGGGTGCTGTGGTTTCCTCCCACAGTCCAAAGATGTGCCGGTTAGGTGGATTGGCCTTGCTAAATTGTCCATAGTGCCAGGGATGCACAGGTTAGGTGGATTAGCCATGGAAAATGCAGTGTTCCAGGGATAGGGTAGTGGGGTGGGTCTGGTGGAATGCTCTTCGGAGGGTTAGTGTGGACTCGTTGGGTTGAATGGCCTGCTTCCACACTGTAGGGACGCTATGGCTCGATGAGATGATGACCTCTGGTGCTCTCTGAAAGACCTATGGACTTTCCCAGAAGGGGGAACAACCTTACCAAAGTCACTGATCTGTATCAAAAAGGCAGTCGTCTAAGTACTAACTCTTTGGTGAAGGCAGGGGCATCCCATCTGAAAGACGGCAGTTCGCAAATTGCAGCACTCTATCTCTCCTGCACTGAATTACCAGCCTGGATTATGTGTTCAAGTCTCTGGAAGGAACTTGAACACAAAATTATCTGAGTTAAGGAGGTGAAAATGCTACAAATGAGCCAAAGCTGTCACAACAAACTAGCTGGTAAGGCAACCAAATCTGCATCGAATATTTCTGTGCTCTAGCACTTCAGTTAGCAAGCGCCGTTCGCCCTTTCCCCAATTTCAGTCAACAATTTACATCCGACGTCTTTTCCCCAACTCTGATATATCAATGAGAAACTCATCAGACTATAAAATATTTCACAGTTCAGTACAACATGGAAAAGATTCTTGTACATTCAAATGTTCCTCACCACCAACAACGTAGCACAATTTCAATATTCAGCAAGCATATTTTCATTTCAGTAAAACAAAGATATAAGATACTTATAATATTTTCAATAGAATAATTAAACTTCTGAGTTTGCTTCCTGGCTACTGTTTGATGACAGGGGATTTGTGGTTTTTCCATACTATTTGTGTTAAAAAAAAATGACCATTGTGTAGGCTTCCATTGACTTAACCCTGAACGGATAGTGAGATCAAGATGGCAGAGGAAAAGAAAGGAAATTAATACATTCTGTCCTTCCCAAAGATAGGGCAATAATTGGATAATTGGCAATGGATACATTGATAGAATCGGTAAGAATAGATAAAATTCAGATAGAATGAGGTTAGATAAAAAGGAACAAAGGTTTATGCAGGGTGACAAAAGGAAACTACAAAGTACAGCAGACATTTTCAATTTTGATGCAAAATTGTCTTGTTTGATGTTAAACGCATGACTAAAATTATAGTCCTATCTATGTCCTGATGTTTCAGCAATGTGTATGGATTCTGAAATATTAAAAATAACATTCAAATAAGTCACCCCACCTTTGCCTGAAGTTGCCAAAAGTCTAAATGCTTGATTTTTAAAATGGCTCACATTGAGCAGTGAAGTTTCTTTATTGTAAACAGCTCAGTTGCTGCTGCAGTATCCACATTATAACAAGGGCATGATCTGGACTCTTTCGAAGTTTAAAATAACAGGTCTACATACGGACAAGCAGATCCTTTACAGGTAACCCCAAGACTATGAACTATCAATCTGTAGTGTAAGCAAAAATAATTTAAACTCACCGTTATTTACCAAAACATGGAGTAAGAGATTCTTTGCTTTGAAGTTTTGGACAAACTGCTGTATGGACTGCATTGAAGCAAGCTCTAGGAACATAAACTCCACTGGGGAAAAAAGGGGAAAAAAATCCATTATTAAATTGCTGCTACTTACAAATTCTAACCATGGATACAAGAAACTTTTCACAAGCAAATATATTTGATTTCATTTGTGTTATCAATAGCTCCAAACACTGAACATATCAAAGTCATCAAATCTACTGCTCTCTTGAAGAGTTAACTAGACTCGAAACATTAGCTTGCTGTCTCTCCATGGATGCTGCCTGACCTGTGATTTCCAGCATTTTTTGTTTTCCATACTGTTAAATACTGATTTACTTTTGCTTAGATTATGGGGCAAGTGTTTTGATCACCATCCAACATTTAAAATAAACCACTCCCACACAATAAGATGATTGGGATAATAACCAGCAGTTTCTGTTTAGGGTAGATTTGGGGCTAGACTCTCCAACTTTTTATCATTTATCAATGAGCAGTATCATGACAATCAAGACCTGCAAAATGCAAGTTTGTCACATGCTGGAGAAGCATATCACATTACCTAAGTAGAATGGGATGAAATCTCAGCAGGCTTGTAATGTTGACTGACAAAATCTTAGCTTGTGCTTTAAAATAGTGTCACAGAATCTTTAATGGGAAAATAAGGCCTTGGCTTAATGAATAATCCAAAGGTAGCATCTTCAACAGTGTAGCACTCCCTCAGTACTATACTGGAATGGCAGCCTTGATGTATGCTCAAGTCCTAGAATGAGACTTGAACCCACAACCTTCTGATTTGCAGGTGAGAGAGTTACCAACTGAACCGTGGCTGATACCTTAAAGAAGTATATATGTGCAGAGGACACTTCCATCTTCTTTCATGTTAGCACATGGACGACCACACATTAGCATTTAAGGTTCTTTTAGTCTCAAATTCCATCGCACTTTAAACAGTGAATTATGAAGCTGGTAAATAGTGCTGAACTTAGCATCACCCAAATGCAAACGGTTATGAAATGACAATATTAGACAACGGCCCAAGGTGTAGCATTTACTTGCTTTGGCTGTGCAGAGCAGAACGTAAATATTATCTATACCACTAGAAAATCAGTATATTGTGCTCACAGATTGGGCCCAAAATGCCCCAGAGTTGAGGCAGGAGTTAATTTGGCTTCCTTGTATTATTACTAAGTATTAGAAAGAGGCTGTGCTAAGAAAAAACGCTAAAGAATTTATTTTTAAAAAACAGAAATCTCCAGTGGCTTTGTTCAAAATTAATCAGATCATAAGCTGCTTTGCATTGACAAGAGCACAATGCCAAGTAACCACACAGATTATTCAGAGGCTGAAGCAAAGCTGTAATTAATCTGGCCTGTTTAATTTGCAGTTGATGATTGTTGGGTATTTGCAAAACAGAAATATCCAGTGCCAGCTTTTCCTTCTCTTCATTTTTTCTTACATTTTTCACATTTTGAAGTGTGGCTCAAAATGCGAGCTGTAAGACTGTAACTCGAGGTTATATTTTTTGAAAAAGGGTTTGAACTTTTCATCATATTTTTGAAATATCTCTACGTTTCTCATCCAATGACTTCTCTTTGTCGTTTAAAGGCTGCTCATTGTCAGAATTTGGGTACAGATGATTTTGCAAAATAATGTGAACTCAGATTCACTCTCCATAGATGTAGCCTTACGTGGGTATTTTTACCTTTTCTATATTTTTACCACTATAGTGCAGATTTGTAACACTGGTAACATTCTGCTAGTAATGGTATTTCATTCACTGCGAGTTCTCATCTAAGGACATGCAACTTGAAAAGGTTCTCCTCCTCTTTCCAACAGCATTTCCATTTGGCTTTTTATTTCACCTTTTTAATCTTCTTTGCTTTCTGTTTCCTTTCTCTTTATCCTTGATCCGTTAAAATCTATCACATCCCGAACATTTTTCAGTTCTGATGAAGAATCATCAATCTGAAACATTAACTCTGCTTCTTTCTTCATGAAGATTATCTGACTGCTAAGCATTTTCTGTTTTTATTTCAGATTTCCAGAACCTGCAGTATATTGTTTGTGTTGTGCCAAGTGTGGCTATGTTACTGGACTAGTAATCTATAAAATGTAGATTCTCATTCTACCATTTAAGAATTTAAATATATATAAATGAATAAGTGAATAAAAAACAGATAACAGTCAGTCAGCTTGCCATAAAAAAAACTCAACAGATTCAGTTGTGTCCTTCAGGCATCCTAATTGTGCAACTCCAGCCTCACAGCTGATGTGGTTATAGAGTCATAGAGCCGTAAAACAGACTCTTCATTCCAACTCGTCCATGCCAACCAGGTTTCCCAGACTGAACTAGTCCCATTTGCCAGCATTTGACTCATATCCCTCTAAACGCTTCCTATCCATGTACCTCTCCAAATGACTTTAAACGTTGTAATTGTACCCACCTCTACCACTTCCTCTGGCAGCTTGTTCCATAAACGAGCTTCTGTGTGAAAAAGTTGCCCCTCAAGGCCCCTCTCACCTTAGACCTATGCCCTCTAGTTTTGGACTCCCCTACCCTAGAGAAAAGACCTTGGCTATTCACCTTATCTATACCCCTCATGAATTTTATAAACCTCTATAAGGTTGTCCCTCAGCCTCCTATGCTCTAGGGATAAAAAGGCCCAACATGTCCAGCCTCCCCTTATAATGCAAACCTTCAAGTCCTTATAACATCCTTGTAAATCCATTTTTTCACCCTTTCCAGGTTAATAACATCCTTCCTATATCAGGGCAACCAGAATTGCACGCAGTACTCCAAATGTGGCCTTACTAAAGTCATAAAGTCATAAAGATGTATAGCACGGAAACAGACACTTCAGTCCAACTCGTCTATGCTGACCAGTTGTCCTATGTAAATCTAATCCCATTTGCCAGCATTTGCCCCATATCCCTCTAAATCCTTCCTATTCATTTACCCATCCAGATATCTTTTAAATGCTGTAATCGTACCAACCTCCACCACTTTCTCTGGTTGCTCATTCCATAGATGCACCACCCTCTGTGCGAAAAAGTTGCCCCTTAGGTCCCTTTTATATCTTTCCCCTCTCATCTTAAACCTAGCACTCTAGTTTTAGTCTCCCCCACCCCATGGAAAAGACATTGTCTATTTACACTATCCATGCCCCTCATGATTTTATAAACCTCTATAAGGTCACCCCTCAGCTCTGACGCTCCAGGGAAAATAGCCCCAACCCATTCAGCCTCTCCCTATAGCTCAAACCCTCCAACCCCGGCAACATCCTCGCAAATCTTTTCTGAAAACTTTCTATTTTCACAACCTCTTTCCTACACCAGGGAGACCAGAATTACTAATGTCGTGTACAGCTCTAACATCCCGACTACAGTATTCAATACTCTGACCGATGAAGGAAAGCTCGCCAAATGCTTTCTTCACGGCTCTGTCTACATGCAACGCCACTATCAAGGAGCTACGTACCTGAACCGCTAGGTCTCCATGTTTGACAACTCTCCCAGGGCTCTACCATTAATTGTGTAAGTTCGGCCCTGGTTTGTCTTACCAAAATGCAAAACCTCACATTTATCTCAATTAAACTCCATCTGCCATTCCTTGGCCCACTGGCCCAGTTGATCAAGATCCGTAGTACTTTTAGATAACCTTCTTCACTGTCCACTATGCCACCAACTTTGGTGTCATCCACAACATTACTAACCCTCTCTCCTAAATTTTCATCAAAATTGTTTCTATAAATGACGAAGAACAGTGGTCCCCGCACCAATCTTTGAAGTACACCGCTGGTCACAGACCTCCACTGTGAAAAACAACCCTCTACCACCACCTTCCATCTCCTACCATCAAGCCAATTTGGTATCCAGTTGGCTGGCTCTCCATGGAATCTATTTGATCCAACCTTACTAACCAGTCTACCATGCAGAACCTTGCCTTTCCAAATGCACATCGATCCTGTGTCTCAGAATCCTCTCCAACAACTTGTCTATCACTGATGTTAGGTGCATCGGTCTGTAGTTCCCCGGCTTTTCCTTGCAACCTTTCTTAAATAATGGCACAACATTAGTCACCATCCACCTCACCCACAGCTGTTGATGATACAAATATCTCTGTTAGGACCCTCTCAATTTCTTCCTTAGATTCCCACAACGTCCTGAGAGACACTTGATCAGGTCCCGGGATTTATCTATCTTTATGCGTTTTAAGACTTCCAGCACCTCCTCTTTCATTATATGGACTCTTTTCAAGACATCACTATTTATTTCTGAAGAAAAATCAGAGTTAACGTTTCAGGTCCAGTGACCCTTCCTCTGACTTTTCTCCACAGATGCTGCCAGACCTGCTGAGCTTTCCCAGCAACTTCTGTTTTAGTTCCTGATTTACTGCATCCGCGTTCTTTCGGTTTTTATCACTATGTATTTCCCTGAGTTCTCTAGTTTCCATGTTTTTCTCCACATATTCATTTGTGATCTCACCCATCTCCTGTGGCTCCACACAGAAATGGCTTTGTTGATCTTTAACGGGCCCTATTCTCTATCTAGTTACTCTTTTGCCCTTATTGTACTTGTAGAATCTCTTTGGATTCTCCTTTACGCTATCTGCCAAAGCTGTCTTATATCTCCATTTTGCCCTCCTCAAGCGATTCATTTGATCCCACTTGTCTATACTTGGCATATGCCTCTTTTCTTGACCAAAGCCTCAATCTTCCTAGTCATCCAGTGTTCTCTACTCCTGCCAGCCTTGCCTTTCACACTAACAGGAACATGCTGGCCCTGAACTCTTGTTATCTCGCTTTTGAAAGTCTCCCACTAGCCAGACGTCCCTTTACCCATGAACGGTCTCCTCCAGTCAACTTTTTACAGTTCCTGTCTAATACCATCAAATTGGCCTTGCCCCAATTTAGAAATTTAACTTTGGACTATCCTTTTCCATGACTATTTTAAAACCAGTAGAATTATAGTCACTGGTACTCAAGTGCTCCCCCCCTCTAACACCTCAGTAACTTGCCCTGCCTTATTTCCAAAGAGAAGGTTGAGTTTTGCCCCTTCGTTAG